AAGGAGCAAGCTCAGGGTGCCCTATGGATGGCCAAGGGTCCCTGTGCAGGTGGGAACGGGGCTGCGGCTGCTGTCCCAAGGGGACCCACATCCTGCCCTGGGCCTGTTGGTGCTGCCAGTCCTTCTCCTCCTGCCCTAAGTCCTTGGGGACAAACCCTGCAGGGACAAGGCTTCTCCTCACCACTGATGCCTCCTGATGTCCTCTGATGACCACTGCAGCTCACTGATGACCAACGTTGCCCCCTGATGACCAATGAAGACCCGGATGATTAATGACACCCTCTGATGATCAATAAAGCCCTCAGCAAAGCTTCTCTCTGTGTATCTGTGTTCTTCTTCTCATGCTCAGCAGGGACCACTCAGATCTGTTCCTGCCTGGCAGTGGCCACCACAAAGTGCTGGGAGAGATCCCCAGCTCCATGCCATGCACAACTTGTCCTACACCCCTGTGGGCTTCCCCACTCCCTCACCATCTGCTACAGAGAAAAAGCAATATATAAGAGGAAAACCCTCATATTTTAGGGAAAAAACAGGGATTTCAAACAGAAAAAGCATATTTAAAGGGAAAGAACGCAGATTTAATGGGAAAAATTCATTTTTAGCAGAAATCGCCATCATTATAGGGAAATGCCCTATATTAATATTTTCATACAAATCCCTGTTTTCCCCCTTAAATATCGCATGTATCAATAGAAATCCCTGTTTTTAACATAAAAGATGGCATATTTTCAGAGAAATCACTTTTTTTCCCCCCATAAATATTGCTTATTTTCATAGACATCCCTGCTTTTCCCCTAAAACATCGCATATGTACCAGAACCCTAACCCTTACCCTAACCCTAACCCTAACCCTAACCCTAACCCTAACCCTAACCCTAACCCTAACCTAACCCTAACCCTTACCCTAACCCTAATCCTAACCCTAACCCTAATCCTAACCCTAACCCTAACCCTAACCCTAATCCTAACCCTAACCCTAATCCTAATCCTAACCCCAACCCTAACCTTAACGCTAACCCTAACCCTTAACCTAACCCTAACCCTTACCCTAACTCTTACCCTAACCCTAATCCTAACCCTAACCCTAACCCTAACCCTAACCCTAACCCTAACCCTAACCCTAACCCTAACCCTAACCCTAACCCTAACCCTAACCCTAAAGCTATCCCTAAACCTAACCCTAACCCTTAGCCTTACCCTAACCCTTACCCTAACCGTAACCCTAACCCTAACCCTAACCCTAACCGTAACCCTAACCCTAACCCTAACCCTAACCCTAACCCTAACCCTATCCCTAACCCTAACCCTAACCCTAACCCTAACCCTAATCCTAACCCTAACCATTACCCTAACCCTAACCCTAACCCTAACCCATACCGTAACACTAACCCTAACCCTAATCCCAACCCTAACCCTTACCCTTACATTAACCCTAACCCTTACCCTAACCCTAACCTTAACCCTTACCCTAACCCTAACTTTAATCCTTACCCTAACCCTAACCCTAACCCTAACCCTTACCCTAACCCTAACCCTAACCCTAACCCTAACCCTTACCCTAACCCTAACTTTAATCCTTACCCTAACCCTAACCCTTACCTTAAACCTACCACTACCCCTACCCCTAACCCTAACCCGAACCCTAACCCTAACCCTTACCCTAACCCTAACCCTAACCCTATCCTAACCCTTACCCTAACCCTAATCCTAACCCTAACCATAACCCTAACGCTAACCCTAACCCTTACCCTAAACCTAACCCTAACCCGAACCCTTAACCCTAACCCTAACCCTAACCCTAACCCTAACCCTTACCCTAACCCTAACCCTAACCCTAACCCTAATCCTAATCCTAACCCTAACCCTAACCCTAACCCTATCCTAACCCTTACCCTAACCCTAATCCTAACCCTAACCATAACCCTAACGCTAACCCTAACCCTTACCCTAAACCTAACCCTAACCCGAACCCTTAACCCTAACCCTAACCCTAACCCTAACCTTAACCCTTACCCTAACCCTAACTTTAATCCTTACCCTAACCCTAACCCTAACCCTAACCCTAATCCTAACCCTAACCCTAACCCTAACCCTATCCTAACCCTTACCCTAACCCTAATCCTAACCCTAACCATAACCCTAACGCTAACCCTAACCCTTACCCTAACCCTAACCCTAACCGAACCCTTAACCCTAACCCTAACCCTAACCCTAACCTTAACCCTTACCCTAACCCTAACCCGTACCCTAACCCTAACCTGAACCCTAACCCTACCCTAACCCTAACCCTAACCCTAACCCCAACCCTAAGCTAACCCAACCCTAACCCTAACCCTAACCCTAATCCTAACCCTAAAACTAATCTTAACGCTAACGCTAACCCTAACCCTTACCCTAACCCTAACCCTTACCCTAACCCTAACCTTAACCCTTACCCTAACCCTAACTTTAATCCCTACCCTAACCCTAACCCTAACCCTAACCCTTACCCTAACCATAACCCTAACCCTAACCCTTACCCTAACCCTAACTTTAATCCTTACCCTAACCCTAACCCTTACCTTAAACCTACCACTACCCCTACCCCTAACCCTAACCCAAACCCTAACCCTAACCCGTACCCTAACCCTAACCCTAACTCGAACCCTTAACCCTAACCCTAACCCTAACCCTATCCTAACCCTTACCCTAACCCTAATCCTAACCCTAACCATAACCCTAACGCTAACCCTAACCTTTACCCTAACCCTAACCCTAACCCGAACCCTAACCCTAACCCTAACCCTTACCCTAACCCTAACCCTTACCCTAACCCTAACTTTAATCCTTACCCTAACCCTAACCCTTACCCTAACCCGAACCCTTAACCCTAACCCTATCCTAACCCTTACCCTAACCCTAATCCTAACCCTAACCATAACCCTAACGCTAAGCCTAACCCTTACCCTAACCCTAACCCTAACCCTAACCCGAACCCTTAACCCTAACCCTAACCCTAACCTTAACCCTTACCCTAACCCTAACTTTAATCCTTACCCTAACCCTAACCCTAACCGTAACCGTAACCGTAACCCTAACCCTTACCCTAACCCTAACCCTAACCCTAACCCTAACCCCAACCCTAAGCTAACCCAACCCTAACCCTAACCCTAACCCTAATCCTAACCCTAACCCTAACCTTAACGCTAACCCTAACCCTAACCCTAACCCTAACCCTTACCCTAACCCTAACCCTAACCCTAACCCTAACCCTAACCCTTACCTTTACCCTAACCCTAACCCTTACCCTAACCCTAACCCTAACCCTAACCCTAACCCTAACCTGAACCCTAACCCTAATCCTAACCCTTACCCTAACCCTAACCCTAACCCTGTCCCTTACCCTAACCCTAACCCTAACCCTAACCCTTACCCTAACCCTAACCCTAATCCTAACCCTAACCCTAACCCTAACCCTAACCCTTACCCTAACCCTAACCCTAATCCTAACACTAACCCTAACACTAACCCTAACCCTAACCCTAACCCTAACCCTTACCCTAACCCTAACCCTAATCCTAACACTAACCCTAACACTAACCGAGGTCTTGCCAGATGGGAATGTCTTTTCGTTACTGAAAACGCTCTTGACACATTCAGACCTCAATACAAACTTTGGAGCAGACACCACGGTTTTTCTTGGCGTTTCACAGGTGCTTAAAGCCTCTGAGGCCTCTACAGCGGCATCAGAACCATCACCACCATGGCTGAGGTCGCTGTGTTCCCTGGTAGCTTCCTCCAGCACAGCTACAGAGTTGGCACCACAAGGAGACGCTTTGGCTGCGTTCGTACCAGAAACATGAGCTGTTATCCACGTGCCTTTCTCACAGCTGGGCTCACTCTTGTCCCTGTTTGCTGTTTCTTGAGATTGGAGTGTAACTCCACCACCTGAGGGCAGTTCATTTTTGTCTTTTCCATCCATGTTTGTCAAGCCTGCTGTACGCTCCTTGGGCGGATCGTCTTCCTTAGCGCAATTTGTATTGCACTCCTCTATGCCAAATTTAAATCCACCTGGAGGCATCCACACTGAGAAGTTACATCTTCCCTCTGCAGGCTCCGCTTCAGCATCTGCCAGATTCTGAGAGGTACACGCTGGGGTTTTCCCATCGAGTTGAAAGGACAGTTCTTGAAGAGATACTGCTGAACGAGTTTTGTTTGCGTTCTGCAGGGCAGCACATTTTGGGGCAGCGGGTTCATTTCTCACTGCAGAGATGTTACAGTCCCACTGCCCTTCCTTTGTCGCAAAGGCGGATCCTAATTTGTCCTGTGCGGCACTGACACAGGACTCTGCAGGTTTTAAACCTGTGGGTGCAAACGCAGGTCTTGTAAAACAGCCTGCTTCAGGCAGAGGTGGATTTGCGCTCGCCTGGGGCAGGCCGTAGTTGTAGCGATCATCACCTCCACGAGGAGAAAGGATTCCAGCAGACGGAGCATCAAAACACACAGGTGCACCACAGGTGCCTTGAGGAAGCACAGCAGCACAAGTGCTGTGCAGAGGCGGCGCGTGGATCGCTTGTTGCTGAGCACGTCGACGTGCTGAGGTGCAGCTCCGTTCGTGCCACAGACAGGCGCCTACAGAAAAACACACCGTTACTTCCTCGTGCAAAAGCCTGCTGCTTCAGGCTGGGAAGCAAGATTTCCCTTCAGATATTTGCAAATTTCTTCCTTACACTCTCCCTGTAATTAAGCCACTCTTCTAGCATATGGGCTGACAGCAGTCCCAAGGCATTTTCAAATCCAGTTCTCCAGAGTTACTGTGAATTTTTATTATAAGGGCGCTGCAATTGTCCTCAAAATAAGTAGCTGTCAGTCTCACCTATTCAGGAACAATTCAGCCCGATGCCCGGTGTTTTCTTGGTTTTCATCCACAGCCCATAGGACAGTGAAGACTGAAAATGACTGCCTCAGCTTTACCATAATAAAAAAGAAAAAGAAAGAAAGAAAAAAAGAAAGGAAAAAAAGCAGCAAACCTGTTGGAACAAAGAAGGGAACAGAAGTGACAGGAAAAGAGCAGTATTTTCTTTTACACTTGGGACGAGCAGTGCTTACAAATAGTGTATTAGTAGGCAGAAACCAGCAGACCAGGAGACACTGGAAGTCAAATTCTATCTTAACGTCCTGCAGACACAAAGAAAAAGCCCAGTACGTGTCAGGATCAAACCGCTGCTTGCAATTCATACGCAGCCAAAATGCAGAACGTTTCATGGTGTGTTCCAAGACGCCAAGCGTGCTCCTTAACAAGCCTTTAACTCTGACATGAGCTGCTCATAAGATTAAAGCAGAACTATGGAACATCTGTAATTACTGGTTTCATTACCACACTGGCTTTTTCGGTCGCAGGCCAACATTTCCAGCACATCTTGCCCAGCACCATCTCCTCTTATTAGTTTTGACTTTGGTTTAGGAATCTGGCGAGGAAAGAAAAGAATTGCTACAGCTTCTTGACAACAAAAAGCAAATCTCTTCATTTAGTCTTACAAGTTAGGAAACAAGCTTGTTTCTTTTCAGGAAAGGACACGAGGTGAGAAACTGAACGATTGCAAACAGCTGTAAGAGCGCACAAGAGAAAGCGATGTTCTGAGCGCAAGCACTTGTGCAAAAGGAAAACTGATTGCATTCCATAAAGCACAGAATTCAGCTTCATCAAGCTCTGCTGTCTATGCAAGAAGTGTGCGAGAGCTACTCGGGTCATTCCCCTCCCTCCCGTATCAATAACCTTAATGTCAGTTAATGCGGCTGCATTACAGAGAAGGGAACAGCCTACAGCAAATACACTCGTTAGCCCTTCAGAGTCGTTGCACTGCTGACAAGTGAAACAGCTGAGATTTTCTTCACCCCACTTGAAATCTTTCCAACAAGTACGGAAGAGTAAGATTTGGCGAGGAGACAGCCTTAAAAACAGCAGCTAGTTTTTGGAACGCAGGCGTTCAGTGCGTGCACAGCGAGAGCACTCAACTGCAACCACTGCAGGCACAAACGGAACAGGGACCGACACGGAAAGCGTTCAGGTACCACCAGGCTGCGAGTTCACACGCATCTCTCCATCGTGCCGCGCTGCTCTGCGCTGTTTCCAGCAGGAAAGTTCCAGCACGCACGTAGAAGCGTCCCGCTCCGCACAGCGCCGGCCTCGCGACCGCCGCCTGCAGCGCGACGTCAAGGCGCCCGCGGAGCCGCTCGTCTCCAGCGAGTTCCCCAGCGCCATCGCCGGGCCGCGCCGCCCGCCCGGACGCCCCGCTCCCCCACCTGCCGGCGGCCGCCAGCCCGCGCTCGCCGCTCTCCAGGAAGGCCCGCACGGAGCGGAGCGGGGCCGGGGCGGCGCGGGCTCGGCCTCGCTGAGGTCCCCCACGTCCCCGCAGCCGGAGCCCCGGAAGCGGAGCGGGCGCACGACGACAGGCATCGCCGCGGGCAGCCGGGCGGAGCCGCGCGGTGAGGACGCGATGACCGAGCGCAAAGGACCCCGCCCGGACTGCCCGCCCCGTTCGGCGGACTGACCAATGGGAGAGGCGAGGGGGCGGGGCCGAGCGCGGGCGCCCCGCCAACGGCGGCTGCCGACGCGAGGCCGCCGCGACGGCGATGGGGCCGGCGGGATGGCGGAGCCGCGGGGCTCCGCGCGGAGAAAGCGGCGCTCCGCCGCCCCGTGCCTCGGGGACGCCGGGCGGTCAGGGGAAGGCACCGCCGCCGGCCCCGTCCGTCCCCCGTCGGAATCCAGCTGTTCTCGGAGGCGGAACCGAGCCGTCCTCCGTCGTTGCGGCGAGGCGCCGTCCCCGCTGAGTGACGTCATCAGCCCCGCGACCCGAGCAGGGGGCGGCCGTGCGGAGCAGCCGGGCCTCCGAGAGCCGCCTCGGCTTCTGCAGGCGGCTGTTCGGGGGGCACCGGGGCGGGGGCCGGGCTTCAGGTGCTGCAGGGGCCGCGTGCCGCTCTGCGTTGGCCTCGTGACGTCGCTGCGGTGCTCGGGGTTCCGCTCGGCGGGGGCGGCTGCCCTGCGTCTCCCCGCCTCCCCCACCCCGTGCGTTTCACTGCCCTCCTCCCCTCCCCCTGCCACGGATCGCCCGCAACCCCCCCCGTCCCTCTGTGTGACCCCCGGGGTTGCGCCTCCCTCCCCCTTTTTCCCCCTTCGTTTCCCCCGTTCTGATCCCTGTCGTTCTCTTCCGGGCCTCCCCTCTGCGCCTCCCCCATTCTGACCCCCAGGCTCCACCTATCTGTCCCCCCGCCCTCCCGCTCCCTCCCCTGTCCCCCGTTCTGATCTCTAATGTCCCTCCACCCCGTCACGAGTCTCCCCATTCTGTGCCCTAGAGTCCCCCCACTTTCCCAGTCCCCTCTATCTGACCCCCAGAATCCCCTCTCCTCCTCCCGGGTACCCCCGCTCCATTTCCCCCATTCTGATCCTTAGAGTCTGCCATCACCCCCCATTACCTTCTCTTTGACCCCCAGGGTCCCGTGTCCTCCTTGCTCCCCCCGCCTTCTGACCCCTTTTTCTGACCTCTGGAGTCCCCTGTGCTCCTCCCTGACCCCTGGAGTCAGTTCCCCCATTTTGACCTCCATTCCCCCCCAACCGGACTCCTTTTCTGCCCAATAGAAGCCCCCCACAACCCCTGGCTCTCTCCTCCCACCCCTTCCTCCCTCCAGCCCCAGATGCGCTTTCTGCCTTGCAGAGGCTCTGTTCACCCTTTTCCCTTCCACAACCCACTAAATTCCCCTCCAACTCTTTTTCAACCCCAGAGGCACCCCACTCCCCTCTTCTCCCCCAGATACTCCCCTGAGGTCTACCCCAGACTCCCACCCCATAGAAGCCCCCCACAACCTCCTCACCACTCCTAGACCCCCTTTCCTCCCTGTAGAGACCCCACTCCTTTTTTTTTCCCCCTCACAATCCTCCATCCACTCCCAGACCTGCCCTTTCTGCCCTACAAAAACCCCTTTTCCCCCTTTCAACTCCTCAAGTTGCCCTCCACAATATTCCCCTCCACAATGTACCCCTCCACCCCCAGACCCTCCTTTCCACTCACAGAAGCCTTTCTCCTCTTTTCTCCCTCACAATCTCCTCCCCACCCCCAGGTCCCCTTTCCACATCACAGGGCTTCTAGCCCACCACAATCCCCCAGTTTCCCTCTTCCACCCTTTCTCCACCTCCAGACCCTCTTTCCAGCTCACAGAAGCCCCACTCACACCTTTCCCCCCGTAGATTCCCCACAACCCCCTATCCACCCCCAGACTTTCTTTCCACCTCTAGAAGCCTCGCTAGCCCCTTTTCTCCCTCCCGCAACCTCCCCTCTCCACCCCTGGAGTCATGCAGAAGAATCTGCAGATGTCCTCGAGGGGTTTGGGGCATGCGGGGGTGTTCCCAGGTGGGTCCAGGGGGATCCTTGGGTTCATCCTGAAGGGTCTGGAGATGTCCCAGTGGGGTCTTGATGTCCAGGGGGTCTCCAGGATGCTCCCGGGGATCCCTTGAAGGATGTGGAAACTCCGAGGATGGGCCCAGGAGCTCCGAGGAGCCTCTAGGATGATCTGGAGATGTCTCACCAGTAGCCCCTATGGCCCCATAACCACTACAGCCTCATCTCATAGCCATCCCATATCCTTATCCCACACCTTTATCCCATCCCATATCCATCGCATCCACCCCATAGCCATCTCAAACCCATCTCGTATCCCTCCCTCCACACCTCGTCCCCATCCCCCACCCCATTCCCATCCCAAATCCACATCCCCACAGATCCTCATTGCAAACAGGGCTCCCCAGTGGCTGCGGGTCTGGCTGGTGGCAAAGTGCTGGGGCAGGTGGTGATGCACCTTTCTCCATCGCTGAGCTCACGTGGCCATGAGTAGGCCCACTGCCTCGCTTATTGCCTTGTCTGTTCAGCTTCTCTCCTGGCTACAGACGCTGCCAGTAAATACTATTGCTCGTGTTATGTTGTCATAGGCAATAAAATAAGCCTGTCCCAAAGACATTGGTGTCTTTGTTCTCCCTGTTGAGCCCATGGATTGGCACAACAGCATCAGCACGCGATGGGCACGAAACTTGGACATCAGCAACGGGACTTGAAAGGCCAGCATCAGGAACGTCTCTTTTGGAGAGAGACTGAGAGACTGGGGCTCGTTGAGCCCGGAGAGCAGAAGGCTGTGGGGAGACCACGTGGCTGCCTTTCAGCACACGGGGCCTCACAGATCACCCAGTTCCCACCCCCTGCTGCGGCCAACAGCGAGATCAGGCTCCAGGTCAGGTTGCGCAGGGTGCCATCCAGCCTGGACCTGAACAGCCCTCAGGACGGGGTGCGCACAGCGTCTCTGGGCAGCTGTGCCAGCAGCTCACCAGCCTCAGCCTGTGTGACACGTGGCAGGTTCTCGTGCCGTTTGCCGAGTAAAGCACAGCGATGGTCGGTATTTCAACCTCACCTGGTGTGCGTGTGCCTGTGAACGCACAGGTTTCTGTTTATTAGACAGACGTGAAACAGCTGCTCTTACCGAGCCATTAAAGTTAGGCTTGCGTTCCTGCGTACCGTAATTCAGTAAGCTGAGCGGAACTGCGCCTGGAAGAGGAGCTGCCCCCTCCGTGCCAGTGACCTAACAGAGCTCCAGGTGACACGGGCTGATGTCACAATGCCTAACAGAGCTCCAGGTGACACAGGCTGATGTCACAATGCCATGCGCTGCATCACAAGCAGATCTTCCCCGGGGCAGCGGCAGGGCCGGCACTTCCCTGCAGGGCCTGGGCGCTGCTGCAGCACTGCTCAGGGGCTCTGTCCTTCTGCGACCAGGAGTCGATTCCGGGGCAGCCAGGCTGCTCTGGGTGACCCTCACTGACGCGTGGAGGAGCAGGGGCGCTTTGCAGAGAATTGTTGGTTGGTTGAGGAGCCTTGTTGGCGGAGGGCATCCTTAGTTCTGAACTGAGGCTGTCCACAAGCCACATGGAAGGCTGCTGGACTGTGAGCGTCAGCTCGAAGCTGGCCTACTCGTTCCTAACGCTGCTGGAACTCTCTGCTGAAGGTAAGGCTGTCCGGACCCCCTTCCCAAGGCATCGCGCGGGGCTGCTGGCTGTCCAAAGCCGCAGCTCCTGCTCTCTGCGCTTGGCTGGACGTGGCTGGGGGCTGCTGTGAGAGCCCTGCCCAAGGATCCCGCTGGGCTCTGGGGACCACGTGGCAGCCAGGTCCCGAGAGCAGAGCTGCCCAGAGCCCCCGCTTCCTTTAGGCATGCTCGGTCCCCTGTGATAGCGCAGTCCGAGGCCAGGTTTCCCTGGCAGACGGTGTTTCCGTAGGTTGCAGCTCTGGGAGGAAAAGCATCCCGTGTCCCAGAGGCTTCCTATGTCCCCGTTTCCCCCTGGGGCTCCAAATAAGGCTGAAATCGGAGCAAAGCCCAGCTCCGGTAGCCATGGTGGTGCTTTTCTGGGGTGTGTGCGTGTGCCTGCACCGATCGCTGTCTGTGTGAGGAGCTTGCCAAGCAGCTGTGAAGAGGCTGGCTTGGAGCCTGACTTGTCTTTTCTTTCCTTTGCAGAGATTGTGGCGGTCTGGGACGCTGTGTCTGACTACATCCTGGAACAGATGAAGCTGGGCAAGGTGGGCTGGTGTGCTGGTGACCCTTGCCCTGGAGAGGGGTTCAGTCCTGCCGAGAATGCGGGCCCCGCAGAGCAATCCCTCCCTGAGCACCACACTGAGCAGCACGCTGAGCCCAAGCCAGGTGCCCAGAGCGGCTTGTTGGCCAACTGGGAGGGAAAGCCAAGGCCAGAGCTGCTCTGAGCAAACGTTTGGCACACGCAGGGGCTTCGCTCTGCCCTGGTCAGAACGGGGAGAGCAAAGGGAGAAATGGGTGGGGGGTTTTTCTGGCCCTGTGCCGAGGATAATCCTTGGGATCAGTCCCAGGCTTCAGCCCTGTGCTGTCCATGCCCGGGCTCTTCTCTAGCCGAGGGATGTTGGGAAATACTGTGCGGAGGTGACTGTCTTGCAGGGAGCACAGACTTTTCCAAAGCTTTCCAGAGAGCCCCATCTCACTCCGCTGTCCGTCAGGAGTGGGGAGGGTGGAGAGCAGTGACCCCACGCTCCTGATGTTCGTGGCTTTTGCCCCCCCTAAAGTACACGCTCGTCAGCCTTTCTGTCTTTTCCCCGTGCAGGGAGTCCTGATTCCGGGACTCGGGGTCTTTGCTGGGGTCCGAGAGCAATTCCACAGCAAAGAAGAGGCGCGTTCCGTTCTAAGGCCTGTCTTCCAGCTGGACATCGGGGTGCTGTGGCTGCAGGAACTCCAGTCTCCCAACGACATCATCCCTGGTGAGAAGGCAGCAGCCACCTTCCCCTTCCCGCCCCACGTCCGGCCGGCTGTGTTCTCCCTGCTCTTTGGAAACGGCCGGGAGCAGCAGAGAAGTGTCTGCAAAGCTCGGGGTGCAGCGCGAGTTCCTCCAGGAGGAACCGCAGCCCAAGAGCTGTTTCTCCAAAGGACCTTTTCTGTGGGATTTGGTTATGAATGCTGCATGGGCTGGCTGTGGCAGTGAGGATGTGCCTTCTCCTTGCAGACGATGTCAAGATTGAGCCGCTCAACTACCGGCAGCTCTCGCGAGCCTGCGGCGTCCCGCTGCACTTGGTGCTGCGCTGCGTGCGGGAGAGCGTGCTCCTGTACTGTCACCTCCTGAGGAGCAGGGAGCCCGTCCTGTTCGTGTTCAAGAACCTCGGCGTTATGACCTGCCAAGACGACTTCCTCCTCATGAGGTTCTTCTGCAGCTGCATTGAAACGCTGGAGAGCAATGCCACCGTCCTCGCACTGATCCACACCGTAAGTTGAGGAGGTTGTGAGGTGCGCTGTCGGATCACCGCTGGCCAGCCTGGACGTGGCAGGCCAGTCCAATGCCTTTCCCCACGCTTGCCCCCACGGCTTTCTCCACTGGCAAAGAGATTTCCTGGATCTGTGCCCATGCAGAAAGCCTGGCAGTGCTCTTGCACGGCCTCGCTGTTTTGCCATCCTGCTCCTTCAGAGCAGAACAAAGCTCTGATGTTCACGGAGGAGGCTTTGGTGGAGAGCAGCTTTCTCTTGGCATGGGAGCCAGGCTTGCTTCCTGTCAACAAGAGCCATGAAAAAATGTCCTTGGCAAGCCTCCAGCAGCTCTGTGTCCCTTTGCAGAGATTCTGGACGGACGATTCTGCTGACTTCGGGCCAGAGACCGCTGCCCATGGCATCCGCGTGTTCCCGAGGTGAGTGCATTTCCTCTGCAGCACTTAGCTGGCCAGCAGACAGGCTTCCTTCCACCTCCTCCTTTCGGTCGTGCCCTGCTGGGTCTCTGTGCTCAGCCTCCAGTCGGGGAGAAATGCTGGAACGTCTGGCTCCTGGTTCTCCACTGCTGCCTTTTGGCTTTTTGGGGAATCAGAGTTGTGTTACTGGTGCCCAAGCTGTCCCGATTCCCCTCAGAGAGAACGGACTGCACGTGCAGAGGAATTTGGGCTATGTGTGCTGGTTTGGCATGGCCAGGAAGGAAAAGGGTGCCACGCTCTGCAGAGCACAGGGATAAATGCCACCAACCAGCTGCGTGGGGCAGGAGGTCATCCTTCTTCAAGGGTTGTCACTCTCTGTTTCCAGGTTTCAGCTCACCGTGGAAAAGAGCAGAGCAGAGGCCGCCGCAGAAAAACAAGCTGCCATAGAGCGGAAGATGAGTAAAGGTGAGGAGCGGGTCCCAGCTGTAGGGAGGGGGGTCCTGTCCCGTGCCGGGTGACCGGATCCAGGTTCACGTGCCGTGCCCGTGGGGCTGCTCTGAAGAACTTCTTTCTCTCTTGGTTCCAGGGGTCTCTGCCGGCAGTCTGCTGCAGAGGCGGAAGACACTTCCCCCCTCCATGCTGCTGCAGCGCAAGCCGAGCTCAAGGCAGCAAGATGTGGCGAAGGAGCCTTCTGCCAGGTGAGGGCCTTGGGCGAAAAGAAGGAGATGCGTGCGCTCGTGTAGGAGCGGCCTCCCCTTCGGAGCTGCCAGCTCTCGGCACCCACAAAGGCTCCTGACACACGTGTGTCCAGGGGGGGCCGTTCTCTCCGGGGCGGCAAGCGCGCAGCACGATCGCCCGAGGCAGACACACAGCTTCATGTTCCACCCTGGCCCCAGTCCCTGGGGGAGCTGAGTGCCGATCCCTACTGTGGGAGCACGGGGGAAATCGAGGTGCCCCGGGCTCCTGCAGACTCCTCTTGTGTCTGTTTGCAGCGCGCTCCCGCCGTGTGCAGGCAGCTCCCGCGGGATGAAGAAAGCGGGACAGAAGGAAACATCTGCTGCCCAGACCAGCGCTGCACTCCCTGCCACCGAGGAGTCTAAGAGAGTGCTGCAGGTACCGGCTCTGCCTTGCTGCAGGGACTGTGCTGCTTGAGACTGCACCAATGATAGGACGGTAGAATCCCAGGAAAGTTTGGGTAGGGAGGGGCCATTCAGACCGCCTGGTTCCAATCCCCTGCTGCAGGCAGGGACACCTGTCTCTAGACCGGGTTGCTCTAAGCCCGACCAGCCTGGCCTTGAGTGCTTCTGCAGGGAGGGAAGCAAAAGCCTCTGTGTGTGCAGTGATCTGGAGCACAGCCCTTCGGGTGCCACCGTTTCACATTTCTGTCCGCTCCTTCAGCTCCTCTTTGGTAGATGGAGGGTGCTGCACACTTTCCCCATCTCTTCTCGCCTCCTGGCCTGCCACCTGCCACAGCACTCTGATTTTGAGCAGGGGCCGTGAGAGAGGAGCCACGTTGGCCACGAGTTGCGGATCCTGGCCTGCCTTTGGGGCCCCTGGTCCTTCAGGGGCAAAGCAGTGCTCACAGGCCGGCAGAGGCGAGGAGCAGGAGCGGGGAGCTGAAGGAAGGCCCCAGGGGCAGAGGCTGATCCTGTATGCTGCTGTGTCTCTGCAGGAGCTCCGCAAAGAGTCTGCGCTGTGGAAAGCAGACCACACGTGGCCCATGCACCAACAGCAAATAGAGCGAGCACAGGCAGAAATGGAGGCATGGGAAGGCTGGAGCGCAGGGGAGGACCAGAATCCGCCCCAGGTACCGTCAGGGATCGACCCTGCTGGCAACAGCCGCTGAGCCAGGGTGCGAGCTCAGCAGGGCGCAGGGGGTGGGAGCGGGACGGGCGCCGCGCAGCATGGCAGGGGCTGGCCCGCTCCTCCCGGGAGGAGAGCTTGGCACGGCCCTGCAGGGAGAAGGGAAGGGCGGCGGGAGCCATGGGCCGGCAGGGCCGAGTCTCCTGCTTGCCGGGGCCTGCTGCAGGGCCCTTGGCAGAGGGCCTCTGGGGAACAGCCCCGTGCTCCCAGCCGCTTTGCTGACAGCGTCTCCTCTTTGGCAGCTGCAGGCCAGGGAGAGCGTGCGTGTTCCGCATCCTCCAGCCCAGCCCAGGAGACAGCAAGTGCGAAGGAGATGGAGGAAGGACGAGGGTCTGCTGCCAGGAAGTATAATGGGGACGGCGACCAAGCTGACACTGCATGCTGAGTGAGTGTGTGTGGGCTCTGCCGGCTGCCTGAGGCTCTCGGGCAGCTGTGACTGCAGCTCAGGGACAGGCACGGCCAGGGCCAAAAACTGCTGGTGGGGTGCAAGGCTGGGGACACCGGGGGGCAGCCGGGGGTGCGGGGCCGGGTGAGGGCAGAGGCAGGGGAGGCTCGGCGGAGCCCGAGGGATGACTTTGTCCTCCTGTTGCAGCCTCCTTTCCCCACGAGCGGCTCAGGTGCTCCGAAGGTTGGAGCCGCACCTCCGTCAGCAAGAGGCTTTTGCCGGCACAGCGGAAAGAAACCGGCAGAAGCTGGAGCAGAAGCGGCAGCTCCTCCGGTGAGCTCCGTAGGCAGCAGATCCCGAGAGCCGGGCTGCAGCCCGGCCTGCACCACTTGCCTGCGCGCAGCCCTAACGCTCCGTGCTCTTCTCGCCTCCCTAGGGCTGAATGCTCGCACGGCTCCAGAGGGGAACGTGCAGCCATCGGTGGGGACCGCGGTGGAGCTCTCAACACGGGGGCTGGGAAGCCGTCCAGATTTCCACCTGTGAATGGAAGATCGTAGAAAACCAAAGACTCGTAGAACGGCCTGGGTTGAAAAGGGTCTCGAAGATCACCGCGACCGGGCTGCCCAGAGCCACATCCAGCCTGCCCTCGGATGCCCGCAGGGATGGGGCGTCCCCCAGCTCTCGGCAAGCTGTTCCAGCACGTCACCACCCTCCGTGTGAAGAACGCCTGCTGACATCTAACCAAATTCTGCCCCCCTTTCACAGTTTAAAACCATTCCCCCTTGTCCTGTCACCATCCGGCCTCGTCAACGGCCGTTCCCCCCTACTCTACAGCCTTCCTTCAAGAACTGGAAGGCCGCAGTGAGGTCTCCCCGGAGCCTTCTCCTCACCAAGCTGAACAAGCCCGGTTCCCTCCACCTTTCTCCACAGGAGAGGTGCTCCAGGCCTCTGATCACCTTAGGGGCCCTCCTCTGCACTTCATCCAAGAGCTCTGCGTCTTTCTTGTACCGGGGACCTCAGTTTTGGATGCAGTATTCCCAATAAAAATGAATTGGCTTTATTTCCACTCAGTCTGCTGATGTCGTGTCTGTCGTCATCAAGTGACGTGAGGAAGCTGGAGCCGTGCTTTGAGAGAGCAGTTTGGGTGGCAACGAGAGCCGCTGCCAAGGCCCGGCAGGACCATGCTCTGCAAGAGCGGGTGCCCAGGACGGCAGCCATCTCTGCCGGCCGTGCACGTTTCCTGTGCACAAGTCGTGCGTCCCCTCGTATCCCCATCGCTCCCTTCTGGCAACAAACAGAAACACTGTGGCAGAATTCTCTTGTGCCCAGCACCCAGACTCTGTTGAGCTGAATTCAGCCCGTGGTGACACGAGAAAGGTTCTCGTGCCAGGGAACGAAAGGGGACCGGGGGAAAACACCGCAAGGGAGGGGAAGGGAAGGGAAAGAAAGCGGGGGGAGACGCTGCAAGGTAACGGAAGGGGACGGGGAGCTGAAGGGAAGGGGAGCGAGAAGAGACAGAGCCGGCGGCTTCGGCGCTGACCAATGAGAGGGAGGCCGGGGGCGGGGCGGCGTCAGCGCTGACCAATGAGAGGCCGGGACGGGCCGCCGCTGTCGGGCCGGTGGCAGCCGGCGCAGCCTGCGTGCCGCCGCTCCCCGCGGCTGAAGCGGCCGCTTCCGAAGCCGGGGCGCCGCGGGAGCCCGGAACGGACTCGGAGGGGCGGGATGCGCACAGCGTCTCTGGGCAGCCCGTGCCAGCAGCTCACCAGCTTCTAAGGGAGAACTTGGAGCTGTGCGTGCGCCTGTGAACGCGCCGGGTGTTTATCGCAGCTCGCACCCGTCCTCCTCCCACCACCCGACTCCCGGGAGCCCGGACCCGATGGCTCGGCCGGACGGTGGCGAGACGTGAGGGTCGGCGGCGCCCCCACCGCCCGGATCCGCCCCGCCGATCGGCCTCGGTTCCTTTGTCTTTCCCGCCCTGTTTTTTCTTCTCGGCTCAACTATTCTCTTTGGACACCTGAACTCTTACCCATCATGAGCAGAGGGTGAGAAATCTTACTCAAAATCCACAACGACAAACGATGCTTCCGTGCTGATTGCATTCCGTGCCACAGAACGGCCACAAACTCCGTCAGCCAAGTACTGGCAGAAAAGAAGAGTGCCGGTCTATCAGAGCCAAAGCCTTGCCTGCACCCTCAGAGCCAGCTGACTGATGCAAAGCTGTGGGCAGCTCCCTGCTACAGGAACGGTCTGGTGAAATTCAGTAGACAAAGACCATTTGCAGCCCTGGATCACAGCAAGTGCCTGAGCCCCTGGACTACTGCGAGAGCATTTCACAGTCATTGCTGCGCTGGGCTGCACTGCGATTAAAGCAAGGAGGGAAAGCAGTGTTGCCTAACCATAGCATGGCCGGATGAGGTGGAATGGAAACTCTTAAAAGCCAACAGCGCCTTTGTAAATGCTGAGCTCTGCCAGCAGGGTGCTGCTCTCAGACACCCAGGTATTCTTACCTGAGACAGACAATAAAGTGCATTTCCCTTGCATCTTTTTCTTTACCAGTTTCAGATACCAACGGGGACCAGGATTTTGGGATCTGGACAGAATCACAGAATGACAGAATCAGCCGGGTTGAAGGGAGCTCAAGGATCACGTAGTTCCAACCCCCTGCCCAGCAGGGCCACCAAACACACACAGTCACATCAGGTTGCCCAGGACCCCGTCCAACCTGGCCTTGAACACGGCCAAGGACGGGGCATCCACAACCTCCCTGGGCAGCCCGTTCCAGGGCCTAACTACTCTCCTTGTGAAGAACTTCCCCCTAACATCCAACCTAAATCTTTCCTCCTTCAACTTGGATCCAGGACACACAGAGCCTCACTCATGCTCCGAGACCCCAGCAGTATTGCTGCATGTTAAGGCAGGGCTTAGAGCACAAAAGTCCCCCACATCTGAAGGTGTGCGTCAAGGGACTGGTCCAACAAACAGACACAAATGGCACATCATGAGAATGGCAGAATCTGGCTTAGTGCCTCCACTTCTCCAAGCTTGAAGGACAAAACATTTTACCATCATTTTCCTCCCTTCAGAAGTCTCAACCTCTTGGAGTCTCACCCTGTTTAAGCCTCAGTAAAGTAAAAAAACAGGGGTGGGGGGAGCATCTCTGTTGCCTCCTTCCACCAGCTGACAACGCAGCAGTTGTTAAAGCAGCAGATGTTCAGTGACTGCTCACTCCCTCTTATTTATGTGCTTGTACAAGTGCTCGGCGCTCGCCTGTATCGTTACGATGTCGGCAGTGACAGCTGGCAATGGAAAATCTAAAGTAACACCTGCAGCATTCCCTTTTTTTCAGCACCGCGCGTGTCGGTTTCTTTAGCACCAATAAGTGGCATTACACAGCCTCATTAAATCCACACACCTGTGCAGTCATTTGCAACTTATGGATAGCTGCTGACGCAACGTTCAAACCAACAGCTCTGGCTCACACCTTTCTGTTCTCCCCATCCGTCTCCAAGCCGCCAGAAGAGCAAACAGCAGCAAAACCCCGCAGTCAATATTCCCTGAGACGCCCTTTTACAAACGCCGGGGGCGCTTTGGAGCTGCTCTCCACAGATGCTCACCAGGTCTGGAGAGCCGTCAGCTGCCCCAGGATATCAGAGAGCGCCAGGAAGCACTGCTGCCCAAACCTCAGGCTGCCCGACCCAACTCCCACGAACACAGCGCCACTGGAAGCTCAATTCCACCTTGGCTGCAACTGCTGCACGTCAACCTGTGGTCTCCCTGGGGGAAGGCTCTGTTGGAAGCTGTTTACATCACCGGCTGCTTTCCTCTACGAGGAGCTGCTATCTCTGCCTGAAATTAAGACTGCTTGACGTTTCCTACCATAAGCCCCTGTTTTTAACTCGTTTATCCCTTTGCCAGTAACGGTTTAGGCTGAAATTTGTAGGAAACATTGTCTGTGGTGTGAAACTGCCATCAGAACAGTTTGACTTCTTTCACAAAGAGACTGCAGAGAACACCATCGCTGGTTCTCAGCTTAAAGTAGGTCTGATCCAGGACTGGCCAAACTAATCAAGCCTGTGTTTTTCTACGGATTTGTACCCAGTCTCTTTCAAACCCTCTTTCCTTTCAGTAATCCCCATTTAGGTACCTGCTACCAAACAGAATGAGCGAGATCTGAGTTGTACCCATTTTACCCCGCTGATGAAGGCTGTCGGTCACAGGGGACCCTCTGACCATGCCCCAAATTTCATCTCACCGCCACACTTCTACTGCGACAAAGGAAAGTAACCTTCAGAGAAACACTGCCCTGACTGACTTTGGTTCAGAGGATGGACGATGTCACTTTAAAAATCATTACTGCCATGAAAAGGAGGAAAAATGTGAATAAATACATTGGCATCCTGAGAGCTTCGCTAAAGCTCTTTCAAGTGCACAACTCCACCAGCGCGCTGTGCGCTGCGCACGGCACACGGCTCAGAGGGGTAATTATCCACGGGTTGGAAGCCAGTGTGAATACACGCACTGTTGGTCAGCACGATGCTGTGCTCGCTGCTGCTTTTTGTTTAATCCATTGTAATCACTGTGGATCTATTTCTGCTGATAACAGAGAGTGAACTGGTTCTGGTCAGACAGATTTCTGGATACGGAAAATGAGCAGAACATCTGAGAGAACTTACTGTGTTACCAGAAATATTTACAAACGGCTCTTCCTTCCCTCGGCTGGCAGCACATCCCAGCACTGAGGAAGCAGCACGGATGGCTTCTGAAGGGATGGAGAAAGCCAAAGTCCACTTCTCCATCGACCTGAGAAAGCAACGCCACGGGGCTCCAGCAGAAGCCCAGGCTGGAACTGCTCCCAGAGTAACAACTGCCCCCTTGACGGAAGGCTCGCGTGAGTCTGAGTGCACCGTGCACCAGGCACAAACCAGCCTCTATGGACAATGAGAGGCCGCCGTGCCATGGCAGCAGAGCACCTGGAGGCCTGGGGTACCTTTTGTGCCACGAGATGTGATTCCAGGACTGTCAGTCCTTCCGGCCCAGGGCAGCGATGTTCTACACAGGCTTGACGCCAACGTGCACCAAGAGCAACGCAGACTCTGGGCTCGACTGACAGCAGCGCAGCCTTCTCCACAGCACGCAGCCCTGTCCCAGTGCATCTGTACCAGCAACGTAGAAACGAGCATCAGCACGAGGACAAGGCACACACACAGACCGACCGGGAGCTGCAGCTTTCCTCAGTTTGTGACAAGCCCTCGGCTGGATGCTGGGATGCTCCCCACGCACAGCCAGGCACTTGCAGCAAGCGCCTTGTGCCCATGGGCAGAGAGCTGCAGTAAGGCACAACGCTGGGCTGAGCACGTTCCAGCTCACAGCAGCAATGGAAGGACATTGTGCAGGAAAACAAAAAGCCTCGAGGAAAGGATTAGGGGTGTCACAAGTTAAACACCTCCTCCCTGATGACATGCAGGATTGGGTCAGCTGTGCAGACAAGCGAGAATGCTGCAGCACGGAGTGAGAAACAAACTGCTGCCTCCAGTAGCATTTCAGACAACAAGCAGAAGACTAGCATACAACAAGCAGCATTTTAAGAGCTTTCCCGTAGAGGACAGGCAGAGATTTGTCAGTGTGTAACTGCACACCGTTTCTACTCTAGATCTCCTCCTTGGCTGCTTTAACTTACCCAGCAGATTTAAATGTAAGAAATAACACTAAACTTCTCCTTATAATCAGCCTCCAAAATCTCGCAGCTCTTGCTTCACAGTTCCAAAAACCAAAAGCTAGGAGAGCAGGTTGCAGTAGTGATACGCTGTCATTAAGAGTCCACTGCATTACAACAAACGATGCCGAAGGACCTGAGCAACAGCTCTGCCTCACTGTCTTAAAAACAGACGGCCGGGGTTTGGTGACAGTGTGAACAACCAACCATCAGACCATCACTGGTCTTAAAAAAATAAAAAATGTATCCCTTTAAACATTACCTTGATCCACACTAAATACACAAATTGCTCAGATGATCATGCTGTCTCATAAGCACGGGATACAGCCAGAACTTACTGCAGGTTATTTGAG